CGTAGGTTTGCAATACAATGGAGACGACCCCTTATGAAGATGAAATACACTGATATGTAAATCACTGTAAGAAATGTATGCACTCACACACCAGGATCCACCCTGGGGGGAATCATCCTCAGGGTCTTCATTATACTCCCTGAGATTTACTAGCATATGATAACACAGGGGCGTGATCGCATTTTCTGGTTCATTAAAACACATCGGCTTGTGTACATGTACCGTAAATTTGCGGGGGTGGTTCTCTGTTTCGGGACCATGCTATTTAGGTCAGAGAGAACATCCCTCTAGATGCTGTAGAGCCTTTGGGCAAAGATTCTCTTTGGCTGTTTCAAAATCCCTTGTAGAATCCCAGCCCCCAAAAAGATTCTAGAACCAACCTGAAAGTGTAACCTGTAGGCAAGGTTCCCCCCCAAAGTCCTTGGAATTGTTGCTATTAGCTGTGAGGGGGTCAGTAGACAATAGCCATGGCCCCCTGCCTACAGTGTACCTGCAGTAACACTGGGGCTCAGCTGCTGTGGTGTAGGTTTTAAAAAAATATATTATGGGATGTTTAACAAGCCTCGGAAGAATCCAAATTTACCATTTTGATTTACTATTATTTTTGCTATATAAATTATATATAGTTACACTTTTACATCCCAAGCCTCAATGGTGTTAGTTTTTGACTACTAGGATTGAGAATCTGAGGTGTGCCATAAGTGACATGCGATTCATGAATGAAGAGTGTTTTTGAACCGGTTCTTTTCAAGGAATCGGGTGAACCAGTTTTCAAAGCTAAAGGAATTAAACTTTTTGTAGATCCACACATTGTACAGGTATATGTCTTAGATTCTAAAAATTCCACAGTTTAACATATGAAAAAAACCCACAGCTGATTCTTTGAATCGAACATTCGATTCATTGAAATGAACAGTTCGGTAGAGTCAGTTCTGTAAACTACAGTGCCAGACTGTGAAGAAGATCATATAGCGGCGATAGGGGACGAACACCCCTGCTGGCCACTCATCCTTCTTCAGCATTTACTGGGCACATCTTATTGGTTTCTGCTGAAAAAAAAACCATCCAGATCCTTAAGCAGGTGGAGATCGGGTTTATCTACTTGGCTGCGGCTAGCAGAGATGATTTCAAAAGGGCTGTTTCCTGTTTGAGTGTAGAGCTGGTGGGTGATATTTGGCAAAGATGTTCGTCAGACAGCTTGGTGCAGCAGGTGCACACGCACACACACACACACACACACACACACACACATACACACACGAGAGAGAAGGTTGGGAGAAAGGGGGATTTGAACTGCTCCCATGGTGGGTTAGTCTCCAGCATGATGTCCCCCCTGTTCCTCTATCCTTGCTAGTCTTCGAGGAACCAGAGGATCCCAATAACCGCTCGTTCTTCTCCGAGATCATCTCCTCCATCTCCGACGTCAAGTTCAGCCATAGTGGGAGGTATCTGATGACACGGGACTACCTGACCGTGCGGGTGTGGGACGTAAACATGGAATGCAAACCCCTGGAGACATATCAGGTACGGCCCGTCTTGACGGACAGCAGGGCCTGCGTCAAGCGTAAGGAACACAAGCCCGAAACGGCTTCTTTTTTGGGTTCCCCAATCTCTTGCACCTGCTAAGTTCCCCAGCTGTCTCGTCACGGATCGCTCGCCTGCTCCCAGCAGAACGTCAGAGTCGCCAGCCATGATACCGACGTGTCACCAGTAACGGTGTCAGACACGGGCTGTAATTTAGAAAAGCCGGCGGGCAACCACTGGGGAACAATGTACCCCCCCCCCCCGGCTCGTCCTGACTGTGAGGGGGCTCATTTGTGCCACGGGGCTGACAGAGACGTCACACCTGAGCCTGCTGGTGCCACACGTGGGTCCACCACTAACCCTCAATCTTGTCGGAGTCGTGACCCGTTATTTTGAGTCAGTGGCACCTGCATTGACAGAAATCCGTGCTCAGCTACTTGGCCTAATTAGTGTAATACTTTTTGCCGAACTATGAATTTTTAATGCTCTGTACACAGCCCCTGCCCAGTTCTCAAAACCTACATCCATGTTTACCCAAAGCAACAGAGATTTTTGCCCGTCAGCAGAATTTTTACTGAAAATCTGAGGAAGGTTCTGATTCTAGGGTACGGCATCAGGGCCTCCTATGAGTCGAGCAGCAATTTTCAGCTTACAAAGTAGAGTAGTGTGCAACTCATCAGGTTAAGATGCTGTGCCTTTGATCAGAACATGGCTGGTTCGAATCCTATGGTCTGCAAAGTGATTTCAGCAAGGCCCGTAACCCACAAACACTCCAGGGACAGACCGTCACTTTGGATAAAAGTGTGTTAGCTAAATGCAAATATATTTGATTTTTTAATTGTACATACCCATTAAATACATGCTATGTTATTGCTTCAAGGAGAAATAACCACAGAAGATGATCTCTGCACACAGTATTTTATAACTTACATTCTTTTAAACAGTATTGAGTGACTATCCTTTAAAAAGCACACGTTGACTCTCTCTCTTTCTGCAGGTACACGACTACCTCCGGGGCAAGTTATGTTCACTGTATGAAAACGACTGCATCTTTGACAAGTTTGAATGCGTGTGGAATGGATCCGACAGGTGAGCGAGTAAATACTACAAAGGAAACACCTGTTAGTTTTTTTTAAGATTTAATCTCATCCCTGTCGTCAGCTAATGGAATTCACCCTAGCGGATCAGTCAAATTTGTTAAATCGGGTTTGCTAAATCTCGTTACTGGACACCATTTATTGCCTTTTCCAGTGTCATCATGACGGGCTCCTACAACAACTTCTTCCGCATGTTCGACCGCAACACCAAGCGGGACGTGACTTTGGAAGCGTCCCGGGAGAACAGCAAGCCACGGGCCATCCTGAAGCCACGGAAGGTCTGCGTGGGGGGCAAGCGGCGCAAGGACGAGATCAGCGTGGACAGCCTTGACTTCAGCAAGAAGATCCTGCACACTGCCTGGCACCCATCCGAGAACATCATTGCCGTAGCGGCCACCAACAACCTCTACATATTCCAAGACAAGGTCAACTAGCACTGTGCCCTCGCACCCCGAGACCACGCTTGAGACTGGCGCTTCTCCCAAGGCTCCTCCCCCAAGGCTCCTCCCCCTCCATCCTGATTGGTTCCCCAGAGCCATTGCTGTTGGCCTCCTGGACACGCACAGCAGTGCAGGGGGGGAATTATTTTTTACTCTCAAGAGACAGCATTTCAAATTTAGTGGAGAGGAGGGGAGAAAGAACTAGTTTACTTACTGACAAGACTAGTTACGATGATCCCAGACTGACGCTCGCCAAGCTAGCTGCAAGCTAAAGTTGATGTCATGTTCTGGCGCCCCGCCCTGCCACCCCGCAGTGACTCCAGTTAATTTTATTTATTCGTTTTATCCCACCTGCTCTCCGTTGGTGTCAACAGGTGGTGTCACGTCAGAAGAAAGGGTTTGCGTTGACATGTAGCATTTGAGTTGGTTTGAATTTTCTAAGTGTCACGATAACAATAAAATGAAAACAAAGGCAGCACTTTCACTAGCTTTCATTCAGGTGGCGTGAATGTGAACGTACTCCTGCCCGGTCAGGAACCTGCAGCCAAATGTCTCCTCCGTTCTGCTTCCATTCGAAAAGGGCCTGACATTTAACACACCAGCTGGACAGAACGAAGCTACAGCCAAAGGTCTTTGTCTCGCTTGTCATTTATCTCATTTGGCGGCCGGCGGCCATAGCACCTGGGATTCAGACCAGGAAAACATCTGAAGCGAAGCAGGTTTGGGCCTGGCCAGTACTTGGATTGGACACCAAATTGGGAAAGCTGGTTTGCTGCTGGAGGAGGTGTTGGTGTGGGCAGTGGATTAGCCCATCCTGTGGTCTGTGTGGGTCCCAGTGTCCCAGTGCAGTGATGGGGACACTGTGCTATAAAAATGGTGTCGTCCTTCAGATGACACGTAAAATCGAGTTCCTGACTGTGAGGTCATCCCAAGGGCATATTTCGAAAGAGTAGAGGTGGTACCCTGATGTCCTGGCTAAAATTGCCCACTGTTGCTGCATCAAATCTGGCCTCCTAATCATCCCCTGTATCTAACTGGTCAATTCTCTCTTTCCCCTTCACTGCCTTAACTACTGTGTGGTGAGCGTACTGGTGCAGAAAGGCTGCCGTCACATCATCCAGGCGGGGGCTACAGTGGTGGGGGCTACACAGTGGTGGGGGTTGAAGTGGCTCCCTATTGGTTCTGCAAAATGCTATATGAATGTAATGGTCATCCACTGCCACCTTGACTGAGTGAATATCCATAACCACCCATGTTTTACTCACTCGGTCTCAATCCCCGGCTGTTTCTATCGCCGGTCCCAGGGCGTGTCAACATACGGGCACAAAAAACATAAAAGGCAAGACCAAATCTGGGACAAAAGCAGCCTTCGGCCAGGAAAAAGAATTCGAACAATTTGCTCTTCAGGACCAGATATGATCAAGGGAACCTAATGACTGCATGTTCCTCTATACCTCCCTTGAGAAAGTAAGGCTAATGTTAGAAGGGGGGGGGACGGGGGACGGACTTAAGATTATCCAATCAGAGACAGGATCTGCCTGATGCAGGCACAGGCAAATCAGAAGCCATGCATTCAGCACGACGACACGGCTGCAGTTACAAGAAACATCTATAAGTCAGGAACCAGCTACACACAGGTGCTTATTAACATCTGCTACTTGTCACCGGGATATTTATCTGTTCCTTAGCAAATATGGAGCCGTACAAGGAAAATGTTTTACTACGGTAGCTTGTGTGTGAAGAATATCAGTGCATTTCCTTCATTTCAACAAGTGCAGCTCAATTTCCTCATAAAGGCAGCACATGGGAAGTGAACATATTGAAAATTCTGTTTGGGCTCAGGGCAAAACTTAAAAAAAAAATAAAAAAATAATAAAAAAAAGTGCCAGTCAATTCTATATCGTTCCTAGCATTAAAAAAACTAGTAAGACCAAAGCTATTTAAAAAAAAATGGGAAGTTGCTTTTATTCCAGTATTTTCTTTACAGAAATATAGCAACAAGTCAAAAAATTAAACCACTATAGAAACATGAACATTCAAACTAAACCATATTGTAACAATGACGACGAGGAGCGAAAAAGGCCATCGGCGTCTCCGGCACGGACGAGGCCAGAGCAACGGGCTGTACATGTTTATCTGAAGCGTAGACTCGCGGCTCACCGTCGCCGCCCTGCAGGCCACAGCCCACAGCCGCCGGGCCGCTTCCATGTGATGACGGGACGTTATACCTGGCACTGTGTGGGTATAGGTCAGCGGGGGCCACGAAGGGAGGGAGGGGGGCTCATTTGGTGGAACGCCGCGTGGGCTCGGAGGCGGTGGGCGGAGGCGGTGGTCCTCGACGGTCCAGGTCCTCAATGTAGGACATGATGAGCTTCCTGCGCTCGTCAGGAACACAGTCCAGTACCAGGTAACGCTTATCGTTCTGCAAGACCTTCTCAATGTCCTTAAGGTGCTGGTCGGACTCCAGGATCAGCTTCCTGGACCTTAAAGCATTAACGCCAAACTACATGTTAACTTCGTAAAGACGTGAGATATCTACTTATTCATATATCATGTATGAACTATTTTACGAATACCTGTTCGATACGTAGAGGGGTGGAATACGCACACATGCAGCCAAAAGTTATATAAGACACAGACGTTAAGAATGACAGAGTTAACCACCTGATTGGTGGGGAAAGAAGTTTCAAAGGATGGCATAGAGCAGAATGTTAAATTTATTCCTTCACTGCAGAGTTCGTAGCTGCACTCACACCTGGTTAGTCCCAGGCAGATTAAACCGCTCACTTGACCACTAAAAAATGGCTGAATTATGGTTTGCTGTTCAAGACCGCCCCAGCGTGCTAATTCTTGTTAGCTAAAAACATGCATTTAAAACATTTAACTTTAAACCAGCAGTTAAGTGTTACAATACTGGACAATTACTGAATTCAGGACCGAGGAAAAGAGACAGAGACACGCACCTATACGTGATGAATTTGGTCTCTTTCAGCAGTGTCCTGAAGTCTGCCTTGGCGGTGATGTATTTGTCTTTGATGTAGTCTTCGAATTCTCTCTGTTTCTTCTGCACAACAGTAACAGGAAGCCACATTTACCACAAGACTAAGAGCACAAAAAACAGCCAGGTTCAGGCATAAGAACATAAGAACTATACAAACGAGAGGAGGCCATTCGACCCATCGAGCTCGCTTGGGGAGAACTTAACTAATAGCTCAGAGTTGTTAAAATCTTATCTAGCTCTGATTTAAAGGAACCCAAGGATTCAGCTTGCACTACGTTATCAGGAAGTCTATTCCATACTCTGACTACACGCTGTGTAAAGAAGTGCTTCCTTAAATCCAGTTTGAAATGTTCTCCTAATTTCTACCTATGGCCACGAGTTCTTGTATTTGAACTAATGCTGAAGTAACTATTCGGTTGAACAGCATCCAAACCTGTTAGAATCTTATAGACCTGGATCATGTCCCCCCTGTCTCCTTTGCTTGAGGCTGAACAGATTTAGCTCAACTAACCTTTCCTCGTATGACATTCCTCTAAGACCAGGAATCATTCTTGTGGCCCAACGCTGCACCTTTTCTAAGGCCGCAATGTCCTTTTTAAGATATGGTGACCAAACCTGCACACAATATTCTAGGTGAGGTCTCACCAAGGAATTGTATAATCTTAGCATTACCTCCCTTGACTTAAACTCCACACACCTGGAGATATACCCCAACATCCTATTGGCCTTTTTTATTGCTTCCCCGCACTGGCAAGAATGAGACATGGAAGCATCAACATACACACCAAGGTCTTTCTCATAATCAGCTACCTTTATTTCAGTAGGTCCCATAAAATACCTGTACTTTATATTTCTGCTCCCTACATGGAGTACCTTACATTTGTCTATGTTAAATTTCATCTGCCAGGTATCGGCCCAGTCACTAATTAAATCAAGATCCTGCTGTAGCTGCTGAGCCGCTAGTTCAGTATCTGCTATACCACCCACCTTGGTGTCATCTGCAAATTTCACCAGTTTACTGTATATATTGGTGTCTATATCATTTATGTAAATTAGGAACAATAGTGGTCCTAAAATTGAACCCTGCGGTACCCCACTATGAACGCAGGCCCACTATGACATTGTGCCTCTAATAACTACTCGCTGCTTCCTATCTGTTAACCAGTTATCAATCCAGGTCGCTACAGTTCCTAAAATACCTGTCGCTTTGAGTTTAAGAAAGAGCCTCTTGTGGGGGACAACATCAAAAGCCTTTTGTAGGACAAAGCACTGAAAAGGGGGGGTTACCCGGTCACTGCTGGAGAACTTTATGCAGCGAGGGTCCTCCTTAATCACCTTCTTCACCTCCTTCCATGTCGTCGTCAGCGTGATCTGCCAAGATGAACCCCGGTGTTACTGCACGCCAAACGTGTCCCTTGTGCCAGACGCTAGCGACTTACTCACTGTATGACCTACATTCTATATTTAAGGTGTGGGGCTTAAGACCAGTCAACCTTCTCATTAGCCAATAATATGTTTTGAATTGGTGAGTGACAGGTGAAGGGCACTCCGGGCACCAATCAGGTTTAGGCTGGGGCAAGTGCCCCTGTATACACCCCCCGGCTTCCGGGCTCAGGTCCTACCAAAGTGGTCTCGTCCAGAAGCTGCCGGAAGTGCTCCTTCTTCTTTTTGCTCAGGGCTTCCACGTGCTCGTTGAAGAGCTTCTCCTTCTCGTCTCGCTCCAGCAGCGAGGCCGACTCCCAGCGATGGTCCTTGCGCAGATTCCGCCGGGTTTCGGACCACGTGGCGTCCGACGTCCTCACCTGCCACCCAACGCGAGAGCCAAGTTAGTCTTGTTGATTAGTCATGTGGGGGAAACCACATCTGAACGGATGCTTTTATCCAAATTGTGCCTGTTTAACATTTAACACCATCGTCTATTTTAGAAATGTTGCTGTTTGTCAATTATCTCCCAAACATAGACTTGCCTTCTTCTATAGAGCTTTGGAGTGCAACACGATCAACTCATGATCTATTGCCTCGGGTAGATGATTTGTGAAACGGTCTTGTGAAGGCCAATGTCAACGCCCAATTGTGACCAATCAACAAGCTCTTCAAGGTCACTATCGTAAACATATCAAACCCACAGCCTCTTTCCTACACACCATATCGGACATAAGGGCTTTGAAGTTCTGGATGGCCTCCTCTCGCTTGTGCTGCTCGCGTTCACGGTCGATCTCCTTGGATTGCTCGAAGCGGGCTTTCTGCACCTCCCGTTCCCTTTCTCGCAGGCTGGCTTCGATCCTGGCCTGCCGCTCAAGATCTTTCTCCTTGTCAGAGTCCAAGTTCTGCAAGGAGAGCGAGTCTTATTTACACAAATACCAGACTCGCAGACACGAACGCGACTGCCACATCTGCACAGACTGCAACTCCACCCTCTCTAAAAATATCGCCCAAGGGCACACAGACAAAGGGAAGTACTGAAAATGGCCTCATCGCACAGCATAGATGAAAATAAATCTACACCGAGGATCACATGCAGTGCTGGATATCGCTGAGATATCGCTGGATACTTTGAGATATCGCTGTCGGCCGTTAAAAAAAATAAATCAAGATGTCAATTTGATGGGTCATTGCCTGCCAACATTTAGGCTTTAGTCAATAATCTAAGTTAGCGGCACTAGGGGTACATACAGAACTGCTAAAATTATGGAGATGATTGCATTGGACAACTGGCCATTTTCTGTAAGAACATAAGAACATAAGAAATTTACAAACGAGAGGAGGCCATTCGGCCCATCAAGCTCGTTTGGGGAGAACTTAGCTAATAGCTCAGAGTTGTTAAAATCTTATCTAGCTCTGATTTAAAGGAACCCAAGGTTTCAGCTTCCACTACAATAGCAGGAAGACTATTCCATACTCTGACTACACGCTGTGTAAAGAAGTGCTTCCTCAAATTTGTTTTAAAATGTTCTCCCGCTAATTTCCACTTATGGCCACGAGTTCTAGTATTTAGACTAATATTGAAATAGTCATTTGGCTGAACAGCATCCAGACCCGTTAGAATCTTATAGACCTGAATCATATCCCCCCTTAGTCGCCTTTGCTCAAGGCTGAACAGATTCAGTTCCGCTAACCTCTCCTCGTAAGACATTCCTCTAAGACCAGGAATCATTCTCGTAGCTCTTCGTTGCACCTTTTCTAAGGCAGCAATGTCCTTCTTGAGGTATGGTGACCAAACCTGCACACAGTATTCTAGGTGGGGTCTTACCAAGGAATTATATAAGCGTAACATCACCTCCCTTGACTTAAACTCCACACATCTAGAGATATAACCCAACATTCTGTTCGCCTTTTTTATTGCTTCCCCACATTGGCGAGAGTGGGACATGGAAGCATCAACATACATACCGAGATCTTTCTCGTAATCAGCTACCTTTATTTCAGTGGAACCCATAAAATATCTGTACTGTAGTGGGTGACGAAGGATTTTATAGGCTCGTTCACCACTTAGAACAAGGTTCCCTAATCATGGTCCCGGAGGAGAAGGATCTAACAGTTTGCAGATTTCCTTGGTCAAACACACCTGCCAGACATAGTGTGAGCTGATTAAGATGTGTTTGAGGGTCTGTAAACTGTGCTGGATTCTGGCCCTACAGGACGAGAACAGAGGAACTCTGACTTAGACGCTCGTCTCCCAGGTCCGTGGTACTTTGCTGATGCCTACTAAGAAGTAACATCACTGCCATTTGCAGAGCCATTATCAGCATTGATAGTATTATACAGAAATATATCAGTGTCTGGCAAAATATCCACACCGGAGCATCACTAATTAACGTATAATGTGGAAGACTGTTGGCAGAGGCAGCACCTTCGCCAGCTTCTCCACGAACTGCTTGTAGAGCTCCTCCCTCATGGCGGAGCTCTCCACGGTCTTGTAGCGCTGATCGCTCTCCACCTTGTCCTTCACCTTGCTCCAGCGCTGTTGGCCGTCGATGTGGTGGTCAGACAGGAGCTCGAAGAAGTCCTGCCTTATCTTCGGGGGCGGGGGGGGGGAACGGAGCGAGAGTTAAAAGGCAGGGAACTGGAGCTGATGCTTTCTGGCCTATAAGAAAAAGCCCAAGTATTTGATAAACCAAGAATTACAGACACTCCTCACGTGAAGTCCTACAAGTTTAAGGACTGCCCGGACTTACGGCCAGCTCTCTGACCAGTCAGTACTGTACGCCGTAGGAGAACTTGGAACTAGTAGTGGAAGCGGCAGCGTGGCGAGATCACATGCTTGATTCCTAGGGTAATGGCTTCACGACCATACAAGTATCTCAAGTCACATGACCTGCACGGGGAGACAGCCCCCACCCTCACCTTCTCCCCCCTGCTCTTGGAGTCCTCCTTTTCCTTCTTCCTGAGCGCGATCATGAACTCCGTGAATATCGCCTCCCGATCCTTCATCTTCTCAATGGCCTTGAACCGAGCGTCCTTGGCATGCTTGGCTGCAAACTCGCTGAAAGTCGTCCTAGAAACAAACAAAAGAAACGTTCGCCCCAGTAGCTCATCTCAATGCCAACAAAACCCTTACCGCCACTAATGCTAATGCGCGGCCTTGTTTCCATGGACACAGCCAGACCCACTGCCACTTAACGGCATGACCTCCCCGACCCAAAGGCTGACCTGGTGCCCAGCTTGGCCTCCTCCATTAGCTTCCTGAACTCCTCCTTGGCTTGCATGAGCTTGTTCTTCTTCTCCTTTCTCTCCTCCTCCGCCCGCGTCTTCACATACTGGTCAAAGACCTGCAGCGGAGAGCGATTCAAAGAGCTATACCAGAGAAATACCTCACAAACAAGGGGAAATCCCAGGTCCCTTGAGTCATGTGTAAGCATAGATGTTTGTCCATCAGATATCTAGAGTAACTGCTTCATAACCATCCATGCATCTCAAGTCCAATGACCTCAACATGGACCCCCCCACCCCCGTTTCCTCCCATTTCTCGAAAGACGCGTCGGCCCAGAGTGTAGAAGTGTGCGAGTGTGTGTCCTGAAAATAGCCTGGCATCCAATCCAGAGAGTCTCCCATCCCTGTCCAGGTTCCCCCATGTCCCTAAGCGGATGGATGGATGGATGGACGGATGGAAAATAAGCTCACTCTTCACCTGCTTCCTTTCCTTAGTGTTAAGCAGCAGGTACCGAGGATCAAACACGATCTTGTGCAGCTCTTTCTCCCACGTCGAAAAGGCCGAAACCTACAAGGAGGGACAAACGAGGAGAGACGCCCCCGGCGAGGACCATCACTCACTGCGGTGAAGGAGCCCTGAACCCTGGCAGCAGGGAGCCAGAGATAACAGTCATCATCCCCAGAGCCACATTTACATAATCCCCTGCAAATTCAGCCCAAATACTACCAACGGCCTGGATATTTTTATATTATTTTAAGCGGAAAAAAAAAAGCTCGTTAGGGGAATAAAAGTGAAGCAAGAGGAATTAAACACAGGAATCTCTAGTCAGCCTTAACAACTCGGCTTCTGTCATAACATCGCCACAACACCTTCTTTAGCAGAAATTCCCTAACATACAAGACAAAGTTACAGTAATCGGAATCACATTCGCACTTCATTCGAACTTGATTTTTGAAAAAGTGACAGCCCTAGTGGGTGACGGAGGGGTCTGTCTTGGCGTGAGACGCCACAGCTGGCCAGCGTGAGGCGGCAGTGAGGCTCAGTACCCCTCTCTCCAGCAGCATGTCCCTGAACTGCTTCACGCGCGTCTCCATCGGCACCACTGCCCGGTCGCGGGCCGCCTTGATCTCCGCATCCATGGCCATCTCCTTCTCAGACTCCTCCTTGGGGTCCTCCTTCCTGTATAAAGCGGCACACGGTACGCATGAGGCCTGCAGTCACCTCCACCGCCACCTTTTGCCTGCAGGGGGCACTACAGGCCCTTAGGCACCAAGCAGGATGGCTTGGCTCTCAGCTCTGCAGACCGAGCATGAGCACCACATAGAGGCTGGATGAATCAGGAGTTAACCTTGGGACATCATACCCTGTACCTTCCTAAACAAAAGTAATTCGTAAAATAATCCTTTTAATCATAGTGCAACATGTCAATTTTCTATCGATTACCAAGCATTATATTTATACAGATAAAGACTGAGCTGTGTGTGTCTAAGAGGTAAAACAAGGCTGCTACCCTGAAGGGCCATATTGATCTCATTGACGTTTCCTAAAATACATCCTACTGTGCACCGATTGGAGGAAGCAAAAGCAAGCTCTGAGTGTCAGACGGATACAGGTAACAAGAACAGAATCACATTACTGGGCTTATTTAGAGGTCTGGGCCAAACGTCAGTGTAACTCCTCCATGCTTAGAGAGCTGCCTCTGAAGGCTTCAAAAAGCTCCACAGATGAACGTCCCTTGGCGATACTTAATGACACCCTAACGAGGCAGGGGTGTGCATGAGCTGAACTTACTTCCTCTTCTTCGCCTTGACG